TGCCTGTGTTGAACGGAAATATCAAATAACGCAGATTGCACCAATAGGTCTGTACACATTCATCTGGCACGACAGACAATCTGAAAACTTACCTTGTTCTGACTGACAAGCTAAGACCGATTTAATAGAGATTGATTCTTTGCAACTGAGTAGTGTCACAGAGTTTTTTGTGATAAAGTTATGTAGTTTTTCAATTTTAATAACCGTCAGCTGTTTACTAAATCTATATTCTCTATCTCCTCAGGGAAATACGCAAGTCGGTCTGAGTAACAAAACGCCATTTGGTCGGAACGCTGCATTTACTACGCCAATAGATCAATATTTGCGTGCCCCAATGCCAGGAGAAATGCCGGCCTATCAGCGTTGATTCAGTCAAGGTTTATTACGTTGCAAGCTCCATCAATGTTTAACTGTGTACCTGACACATTCTCGTGGAAAAAAAATTAAAAGATTCATCTACTTGGGTGGACATTTATTTAATCATCTGGTTAACCACTGCAGATTTTGCATAGAAACCATGAACGGTTGGTAGAATCTTGAGGGCAAAGTATCTGAAGTTAAAAGCTGTTTGATGTGTTGTTTGTTTGGACAACAAGCTGCTAATGCGCATTTAGTTTTACGAACAATATTTGCTTTATGGCATTATGGTGGACAAATCAGGACAGTGTCGAACATGAGATTAATAAGTCATTAAAATTCAGCCTTGAAAATCTCTGGAAGGATGTTTGCTTTTTGCTCGACTTCCGTGAAAATGCTAGTTAGGCAATTTGCATCAGTTGTAAGTCTCTGACCAAAGCTGAACACTCAGATCCATTGCCAATATTAGAAGGCAGTCTGAAAAGTTCTTATATGCAGTTAACAATGTTTACGTGCGTGACAAACTCATTACTGCCTTCCCATCCGAACGAGAAGCTGACGATGGATTATAAATAATGAGGGATGCAAACCGAATAATCCTTTCAAAAAAGTTGAAGAGGCGTGAACTACTTGAAAGAATGAAGATGATATATTTCGTATGCTAAGCAGTCCTTAGCTTTCTTACTAATACACAGATCTTCAGTAAATCATTTTGTTTTGAAAAATCCGTAAGATAAACATCTTCGTGGCGTTTAGGCCATGATTAAACGGCAGAATCAACTGTAGGATCTAATGAAAATTTCATGATAGCGTTTTTAATCGTTCCTGTTTTAGCTGCTGGTGTTAGAATGATTGAAAGTCAGTGAATATCTCCGTCAACTTGAGTTGCTGGTGTGAAGTTAATTTTACGTTTTCAGAAGACATCACTTCGCTAAAATTGCCGTGTTCTGTAATCAATGCGCGAATACATCAAAGAAATTTTAGTCAAAACCAGCAGGTTTGCCCTTAGTGGTGGAGGGCAGACAAATACATAGGGCCTTATGCATGGTCGGAGCTAAGCGAGTACTGAGGTCATTAAGAGTTCGATAACTAGTAGCAAGCAAACATGCTGATCTTGAAAAAATGACCTCTCCGTAGATTGCAAGACAATGAAAGAAAAGCCAATATTACACCAATGGGAAGCGATGAATGAAACACTGGGGTTTCGAAAATGATGCTTAGCTATATCACACAGACCGAATGCAATTGATTTTGGGTGGTCTTACTGTGTCCCACTGACATCTGTTGAAGTAACCATATCCCAACAACCCATTGTCAGTTAACCCGTGACAGAGAGTTCAATAGTACTCTATATCTACTCACCCTTGTGTTGAAATGTTTGCACATATTCCTGATGCATTTCACCGGCCTGAAAGTGGATAACCAATCCGGAGGTGAGGATGATCAATAATAGCTAACAATTGTATATGTAAGCATAACGTGTTTTTTAATTCCAACTGAGACCTTCAGTCTATGTTCAGCTTTTAAGTACAATGCTATTTTGCGGCAGCTATATACAGCGAGCATGACAGTCGGTCACGCTAGTGGGGGTACATAATGAGAGCAGGAATCACCCTCTTTGTATCTATGTTGAATGCGACCATGTGTGCTGCGTCCAAATTACGAGTCGGAGCTCTTATTCACTTCTATAAGCAGCGTTTAGGACTGGCCGAAGTTCCAGATGTTAAGTCGAAATGTTGACTAGGCGAACTTAGGTAGACCCATTTTTACCATATGAATCCAATCAAGAACTACTCTAGTCGTGTGATGCTAATTTTAAAATGTACACTATGAAGTGTTGTATTTCCCGCTTTATTTTGCAATATTGCGGACGCACACGGGATCGCTTTTCCAGAGTCTTTTACTGGTAAATCAATTTTACCACGTTTGTGGTATTTCTTAGTTGGTAGTCAACTTTTATTCGCCGTCCTGACAGATTCTAGCTGCTCGCTAATGAAACTGCGTTTTAGTTCAAATATAAATTTTGTCGAACGTGCGTTTTAGCTCGTCTTCTGTTTAACCTTTGAACTAGGGTCGACATTTTATTACTAGGTCGCACACGTAGTAGCCCATCATAACTTGCAGTCCTAGCTAAGGACGATTATGATTAGGTTGTACTGGTAGCAAAGTTTCTGTCAACTTCTGAACCTCTCATCTCTTGTCGAAAAACTACTCGTGTTCTTCATAGTGTTGAATGAACAGCCGTTCCAACACGATAAACCTTAAAATATTTCTGATATGTATCTAGTTAGATGAAAAAGGAATAACAACAGTTTTGGAGTTTTCAATGTTGGCCAATATTTCGTGAAGTTTTTACGTCTTCAAGGTGAACAAAACGCATACTATAGTATAATGGAAACAGTAAAATATAAAAACATCGTAAGACAAAACCCGTCATCCGTCGATATTACAAAATTTGGCTTAAAATGAGTAACTCGGAGTACAACAAAAGTCCTTCTACCCATTTGGGTGACTTGCCTGTGCCCCGAGAATCTGCTGGTGATATTTTTGTGAATCAACTAGGAAGGGTGCATCAACTGAAGTGCAAAACACTGGTGTTCTATTTGATTTCTTCGAAAAGTTCACAGTAAATTGAATAGTACTGTTTGATATTTTAGTGTAATAACGTGAATAAATCACTGAACTCATAGTGATTGTTGTGATGTTCCTGTTTTTTTCGATTCAAAATTGACCATCCTGTCAACAATATTATGCATTAACTAAAGTTTGCTCTATCCTGAACATATGCAGCTGCACAGTTGACCTTAGTTCAAACAACTACTGAACCAGTTCTCCATAATCTTGAACGTAGTTCGTCAACCACTTCTATTTCCCATTTTGTGTACCGGTTCATTTGCAGTTGCAGTAACGTTTACGTAAGCAGAACAAATCGAAATCTATCACCTCGGTTGATCGAACACAGCTCGAAATGGCTGAAAAAAGTGATGACGCATCAGTCTCAGCTTGGCGGACTGGTTGCTCACAAACGAACGCCACCGATTCCTAAACACTTGTTGATACAATGATATCAGGTTGACTCAAAAACCCACCAAAACTACTGTTGATGACTTGCCAGCAGTTCATGCCGTCACTTTCACAACATACAGGTAAAGCCGAAAGAAAGTAGGAGTTGAAAGGTAACTCATAAAATCTGTAGTTGTAATCTAATGTGATCAACGTCACTTGAACAAAAATGTCAACAAAAGAGGATGACGCTTGCAAGGCAGCCACTTCCTTGGAGCTTCTAGTGTCGTGCTTAGTTAGTCGAAGTTTAGTAACAACATAGTGTGTGTCCGTAAATTCAACTAATTGCGATATCTAATAAGGATTCCAACGAAAGACCAACTGAACCGCTACCTAGGTACGCACGCCTTAAATAACTGTCCGTTGTCACTACATCATTTTGAGTGTTATGTTCATGTTTGACTATTTTTAGATTGAAACGCCTCACTGTTCCAACAGATCAATTGTCAGCGTTCAAATAAAATTATATTCTGTCGAGAAAAAAATGAACAGCATAAGCTATATTTGAGCTTAACACACTAGGTGAACTTGTTAATCGTAGTTCAACTTCACAAATCGTGATCAAAAATGTTGTTTACAACTAATAAATGGATTGGGAATAACACAACGTTACGAACAAGTAATACTCTACGTTTCAACCACATCGGGTGGCCTTCCTCGGGAGTGTTGTAATCGAAATCACATTAACAGTTCATTTCGATTATTACGTTTTGCGAAAACATAAAATGGGACACAAACTGGACGTAGTAATGATGTGATGCAACAGTGTTTGATTTGTTTCTGTCGTCATTCTGTAGCTTCACAACTAGAAACGGCAGCTTGTACGGGACTTCCAAACCTAGTAAACGCGAAACGGAAACATGTCGTAATGTGTGAGGTGAATATCTTACATGCCAGCTACCGATTAATTCCTTGCTTATACTGTTTGCTCATACGTGCAGTTTTTAACCATAAAACATGCACTTTGGTTTTCTGCTGTCAACTCCGCAAAGCTCACGTTGAGGACAACGTGTGATAGAAAACAGACAACCAACTAAATGATTCGGTAATGGAAAGTAGTGGGCAATTAATCGTTTGCCAAAAATTCAGCATGCGGTCGGATACATTCCTCAATGCCCGATAAGCTTAGCATATACTGCAACTATACAAGGTAGATGAATCAACCACCTTCTGAGTGAACGGATTATAAGAGACAATACTTAATCAGACGGCGGCCCCAGAATATGATGATTTCTGGTCTCCCACCTAAGATGCTGCCGTAAACGTAGGCCACGTGAAGTCAGTGACTTTTAGTTATTTTCGTTCACGACCCAACATTCCGGAAACGGTTGTGTGAATATCCAACAAAATGACTCATTAAGTGTGATAACAGAAAGGAAAAATCGAACAAAAATATGTTCCGTATAAAACACAGTAATACTTATGAGTAAAAAGGGATTTTGATTTTCATGTGAATTGAAAATCACCCACAATTGATCGCAGCTGTCGCGTTCCCATAGACTTTCCAGTTCGCCCATTTTGAAAAGAAGCAGTAGACTCGAGTTCCACTCTCATTAGAACTTAACAGTAGTGCATATCTTCGTCACTGCCGGGACTAGAACCACGGTCATGCTGTTCATGGGACAACCGTGCTTACCACTGCACCACTGACTTCACAACAAGCACAACCGAATTATCATATGTGAACGCTCAACCACTTTCGCTTGTGAGTAATGATCAGGTTGCCCGGTCGCCTCGAGAGGAGACACAGTTACTGTCTGATAACTCCAATCAATGACCCCTCGACTAGGACTTCTGTGAAAGTTGAAATAACAGAAATCATTGACTTGTTGAGCGATATTTGACTACTGTGTGGTGAGGATATGCACTACTGACGAGCTCTAATGAGAGCGAAAATCGAAGCTAGTGCTTCTTTTTGAAATGGGCCGACGGGAAAGTCTATGGAAATGCGACAGTTGAGATCAATTGTGGGTGATGTTCAATCTGTATAAAGGTAACACTTGCCGTGTGCAGTTTGCTGATGTATACCGTTTTGCGCATTGCTTTTACACGTACATCATTTGTGCTAGAACAGTTTCTGTCATAAAGTAAAACCATTGCACAAAATAGCAATTATTAATCGACTCAGGGAACTTTGCTAGAATCCTCATTGTTAGTTTGTTGACGTTGATTTATCAGTCCGTGTTTTCTCAGTAACACTGAGAGCCTGACAAATGTCGTGCTAAGGCTCAAGTTTGCTTGCGCGTTGTGTGCCACGCGTTTCTAATATTCCCGTTCACATAAATAAGCTATGAAAAATGAGGTGTTTTTCAGCTACTTTGCAAAAATTTGGTTTATCTTCTACTGTAGACAACAATTCTGGACATTAATGCAGAACTTTTTAAATTTCGGGAATTCGGCTTTCCCACACAGATTAATACGTCCTGGAATCTAAAAAGAGCATATACTGTAAAACATTTTATAGGGTTAAATTTGTATTTTGGACCCACTCAAAATATCTTCCTTTACACAGTCGAACATTGAATCATGTTTGTACACTGGAGACCTTACTAATATACTTCTGGTGTGTATGACTCATGGCTGATGACAAGTTCTTGGATAACAGTGCCATAAGAATGAATCAGTGTTGTGAGAAGAAAAGTTTTCGAAGTTCTCGACAACAAACATCCGGTGTGATTACACCCTTCTGAAACCTAAACATGACGCTTTTGAACGCGATTTGGAAAATATTGCGGTTTATCCAAAATCTGCACCTTACATATTGGCAATTGTGCAATCATCTTGAGTATCAGATATTGTAATTGGAAAGCAAATAAGTTCCGAGATAATAATTGTGATTGTGAGGCAGCCAACTCGAGGACCATGGCTGTGCACTGATTGATTGTCACTTGATACACATAATTATAATGTAAACGCGAAGTTTACTCTACTCGAATACTTTACACTAATGGTCTATGAGAAACGGAAAACAGATTCTATTGTATGGGTTTAACCGGTAGTCAACTTCCGGGTGTACAGCTTTGCGAGTGATGAGCATGAAGGTTGGTAGCCAGTCATTCTCATATTGGGAGGTTTTCCTGGTATTTTCTATTGGCTGAAAACAATCCAAATTACTATGACGGCGGGAGCCACTGTTCTTTGAGGGGTGTCTGAGAAAGAAAAAATCATAAACTCTGTGGTGCATGGAAGTCCCACTTCTTCGCGCAGATATATGACGACGAAAGCAATACTTTTGAGTGTTTGCTGATCCATATATTCTTTTCCAATGTTAGAAGCAGTTATCTCTCTTCAGCAATTTGGACAAACTAGTTAGGAAAAGAAGGGCGACTGGCGCATACGTTTTGTATTGGTTCATTAGTATTACATTTATAGTAACACCGGTAGGCTAACTTCTTTTGATTGAACATAGAAGTAGTTTCCAAGCCTTCTAATTAGATGAGAAACAACCTAGTGAAACAGTTAATGAATTACTGTCGCAACCGTGGGCTAATGTATGAAATGGAAACCAGTAGCTGTTAGCGGATTATTGACATACTTCATTGAAAGCTGTGCTAGAAGGGCTGTCCGTAAGAATATTACCCGGTCTGCTGAATGCTTAATCTATAGCAGTTTCGTATCTGTCCAAAATAAACGTGCACTATTGCGTACGCTACTCACACGAGTATGTCGAAGCTGTAAAGAGGACAGTCTTGAAGAGGACTTAGACTTGATCACGCCCATACCACAGTCTCATTTACCTCAAAAGGTTCACAGATGACGTAATGGGCAAAAGTCAAGAGATTCAGAAACAGAAGGAATACGGCCTATACTCATCTATCGGGTTAATTTGGCCCGTTTCAATAATTTCGCACTAGCACATCCTACTCGATACAATTAAAGCAGGTAGTGTTCCGGTATGGAAGAATTAATGTTTCATGCATGGTGTTTATTAACAACAGTCTTACAGCTGAGACACAGACAACTCAGTTGTCAGAGTACCATATTTTGAGTCTAACATCTACCACCTGAGATACATATGCTTGCAGAAGCTTCAGATAAACCACGTAATATGCAAGGCAACAGAACAATAGAACACTGAGAATGATGTACAACAAAAATCTTGTTATAATCAACTAACATCTGCGTAACAGCTTGGAGGGAAAGTTAATAAGAAACGCTATAGTCTCTAAAACAGTCGCATTGAATACAAGTCAACAGAGCATGAGACAGCCATTCCAATAACCTTGAAGCTAGCCACTTCAATTCACCCATAGTTTCGCTGTAAGTCAAATAGTCCAGGATCATACATTTAACAACTTCCAAAAACATAGTAAACAAGTAAATCCAAAGTTCAGCATCCTTTGAAGGTGTCTGTTTGAGACAAATAGTTATGTTTAATAAAAGGAAAACCCTGGCACGAAAGCATCATTCCTATTTTGTTCAGTGAATAGCTATTTCGTATTAGCTGATATTTAGCTAATGTGTACATGTAGCAATAACAATAGATTACTAATAAGTAGTCGAACAGTTGGGTGACATCAGTTTGAACATCGCCCATATTCGGTTAACAGCTTTTGCGTTCAAATTGTCTATCCAGACAGTGTTCTGGCCCTCGCGCTTGTTAGGTTAGCATGTTAGCCGTAACGACAATAACGTCACAATAGGCATGACCAAGCAATCAGTTGCAAACGCACAATCACAAGCTTGCATGAATAATGTTCAGCTTGTCCGGTCATTTCGAAAGCAGAAGGAACCGAATTACTCTGTTCCATACAAATTCCGATTTGGACAAGAATTTGCAATAAAGGTAGGCTCTAATAAAAGCGAAACTCGAGTCTGGTGCTTGTTTTCAAAGTGGACCAGCCGATAGGCATACCTGAATATGGAGGCTGCGATCAACTGCGTGTGGTGCTCAGTTTGAAAGTCGTATAGTCGCAAGAATTGATAGCAACGCTCTATTGTCGCATCTTGGCAACAGATGAATTAGTTAGCGACCTGCCAAAATGATGCAGGATTTCTAAGATTTCATAATATGAGAACGACAATGTAGCAAACACGACTTGTTTTCTGTGTTTTATCATCAAGCTAACCACAACACAATAAATATGAAAGCATTGACTGGGATGAGTCCGCTAAATGGTCATTAGAGGCTATGGACGACGCGTTTGTTATCATTTAAACAATCACTGTTCCAACTGGTGGACTTGGTTGATTATAAACGATGAGAGATTGTGTCCACACGAACTTCGTCTGGGCGCAGAGGTCAGGGTTGTGAAATCAGATACTAATGGCGTCGGCAACAGTCAACATTCGGACTCTCACCATTTTTGTTTGATTCCATGGCACTTGGGAAGCAATCTGAAAAGCGTCTTCCTTACGGACGGATTGATTAGAGTCGGTTAAATGAACAACATTTACGTTTGAAACCGTTTTAACCACACCACTATTCAACCACACAAGATGATGTTCACGCACTCTGTCAGAAAATCGCCATGTAATACGACCAAGGTATGGTGTTCGACACGAGCAAACAAATGAGTACACACAACACCTGGTTGCAGAGCATGGAAGTTTGTCATTGAGTTGTGACGTGACAACGGGTGTTGATCGGAAACTCACGCATTATTAAGCGGCACGGTGAGTTGTTTCGACTGACTTTTTGGGCCTTCTTGAGATAACTTCAGTCACGTGATCTCCCTTGAAAGAAAGACTGATAAACGCAAGTTTCTTATACACAGAGCGTGACCTAAATTTTTACTCTACAGCTTGCATGGTCTTCTGAATGAAACGCATTAAGTAGCCAATCTGCATGAACACGTCTTGTAGAAAATCTAGCTCAGCTTGTAAAGTGTCAGGGGTGTAGATCTTTAACGCCCTACCCGTCCGACACCGTATGATGTTTCGCTTTCGATTTAGCGGAACTAAACTGTCAAACTGAAGGTACTGGCTACTCCAAGTTTTGTTTTCTGTACACATTTCCTTGGATTGAACCATATTCTCTTCTTTCTATGCTAACATCCAATAAATTTATTTGGCCATTGTTGTCTAAATCCTTGGTGAATTTAATACTGCTATGGGCTGAGTTAGAAGCTACCATAACTCTGTTCATGTTAGAATTCTTGTTGGCGACATGAAAAATACCACCAACATAGCAGTCGTAACATATAAACTGTTCAATAACCACACTCAATTGGGTAGTCTTCAGTTTGCTCATGAAAACGTCAGCTAACAAGAAACCTAGAAGCGAGCCATTGCCACTCCATCTCTCCGTCCGTAGATTGCACTGTTGGACAGAAACTGACCGTTACTCGTACAATGCACCAGTTGTTCTCTCAGTTCGTCTCTTGGGATGTCCACCTATTTGTTGTTACGCTCGATGTAATCGTATGAATAGTCATCTGTCTCTTGTTGCATTAATGAGTATCGGTCCAAAAACTATTTGTGCAGTTCAGCTCAGTATACGTTGAGTCTGGGACTGTCCATGTTCGACTTTAGATAGATGACGAAAAGTGCACATACCATGTTTGTCAAGCTGTTCACGACCGCCCCTGTTCCAGTGAGTAAAGCATCAGTATTAACATTAAGATGATCCTTGACAAAAAACGGGTTTGAAGCAGCGGTAGACTAAAGATGATAGAAAACAGTGCGAGACGTTTTTTCATGGCCGGTGGA